AAAACTAAAATATATTTTATTTTAAAAAGAAAATAACGGACCTTTAACCTTACATGGCTAAAGTACTGATTATATATTTGCTGAGCTGACTTGACGGTTATGAAAATTGTATCAAGAGTTTTATTTTTTGACTTCAAAGCCTTCTTAATAAAGACTTTTTACTATATATGAATTCATGTGCTACCTACAGTGTCTCACTGCCTGCAGCCTCTCAGCGCCCATTCCAGCGTCCTCAGGACTGGCCACCCTGCTCTGGTTTCTGGGTCATGTGTCTGCTGGCAGTTTACTTTTCGGCAGCGTTTTACCCTCTGCTTCCCACGTGCCGGGGGCACGGACCCTCCTGCCTGCCCCGTGGCCAAGCCCTGACTTCCTGGGGCGTAGCGCAGGACAGGGTGATGATGGGGAAGATGCAGCCCTCGAGTGCCTTGGGGTCTTGCTGCTTCCCCGGGTGCTGGCATCTGGCATCAGGCGGCTGTGGCACCGTTTGCCATTGCATGTTGCTGCGCTGGGGCCGCTGCGCTCCCCACTGCCGCAGTTCTGCCCAGACGCGTGCTGGGGCTTTCGAGGCGGCTGTCGGAAAGCGCCGCCAACCCCTACGGGGAGCAGTAACAACCTGAAGGCTGCCTGGGTGCCTGTTTTCTCCCCAGCCAAAAGCTCAGCTATTAATGGAGCTCCAGTCTGTGTCTACAGGCTGCACATGGCGCAAACCCGCCTACGTGATTTGTTAATGAGCCACATGCTGCTGACAGCCCTTGGGCAATTAGGGATTCATTATTTTTTCATCAGAAAATGCCTTTGTGTGTTCCCTGTTGCAGAATGTGCTCACTTTTTTGGGGGTGGAGGAAGGGCGGTATTTTCATTGCCCCACTTGCCATGTTGTGCTGCTGGACTGTGCTGGGTTGCTGGAGCTGACACCCTCTGAGATGGCTTTGGCATCCCCGGGGCTGTACCACTGCTGGGGTGGCACAGCGGGGCTGCCAAGGCTCAACGAAGCCAGCTGGGAAGAAAGTGGGTGCTAGCTTGGGTGCTCGGGGCAGGAGCAGGAACCGACAGGGATGTCTGCCACCTCCCAACACGTGGATTTGTTCCTTTCCAGGCCGGGTGACCCTGCCGTGAGTCTGGCCTTCTCTATCAGGGACACATAGGCAGTAGCACCCATGGGCAGGGGGGACCCATGGACAGTTGGGAGCCATGGGTGACGGGGACCTACAGACCGTAGCACCTATGGAGAGTGGCACCTACAGACTGTAGGCACCCACAGACAGTGGCACCCATGGCCATGGGGACCCATGGCAGCAGCACCCACAGAGAGCTGTCAATACACCGCTGGTGCTGTCACCACAGGTTTTCATCCTTCCTGGAGTTTCTCTGTCACCAGGAGAGAGGGGGCCTGTGCTGTGAGAGGGTTGTGGTGGCATGTGTGTGGTGGGAGTGCCCTCGGTGGCAGACCTGGGGTGCCCTGGGTGAGGGCAGTTTTGGGGTGTCCTAGATAGGAGGGGTCTTTGGGTGCCCTTGATGGGCTTTTGGGGTGTCCTGGGCAGGGATGGGGGTCCCAGATAAGGCTTCTCAGGATGTCCCAAGTAGGGTCTTGGGGTGCCCCTTACGGGGATCCTCAGGATGTCCCGAATGGGGGGTCTCGAGATGCCCCGCATAGGGGGACCTTCGGATGCCCAAGCTAGGAGGGATCTTGGGTGCCGCAGTGGGACGGGGAGAACAGGTCCCAGCCCCCCCGCTTCCAGGAGCTCCTCTGTGGGGCGGAACGGGAGGCGGAGTGGGGCGGGGACCCGTACCCCCTCCTCCTCCAATTAGCAGCAATTAGCGGCCATAAAGGGGCTGCGGGTGGTACGGGTGGGAGTGTTAGCAGCAGTCGCGGGTGGGAGGTGAAGCAGCAGTCGGGGTTTCTGCCATGGCTGCGGGGGACCAGTACGTGCAGGTGAGCGGGCCCGGAGGGGTCCCACCACAGGGTGCTGCAGAGGGAGCTGTAAGGGCGGGGGGGGGCTGCCCACGGGTCTGGGGTGCTTGATGCAGGCCTGGAGGATTTTGTGCCTCCCCTGGGCACTCAGCACCCCGGGTGGCTGCAGGTGCTGTGGTCTGCGTGTCCCCCTGGGGCACCTCCCCACTGGTGTCTTGCTTGGTAGCACCTTGTGGGGTGCTGGGTGTCTGGTGCTGCATCAGTCGTGGCTTTGGCCGTGGGCTGCCTGCCCTGGGTGTGTGTTGCTGTGGCTGCTGCGCTCCAGCTAGGCTGCTCGTCGGGGTTGCTGACATGCAGGGACCCATGGCCTGGCAAGCATAGCACCTTGCAGGGGTGCTGGTCACAGGTGGGAAGAAGGGTTTGGTGCTGCCTGGGCACCTATTTGTCCTGCTTCTTGCCCAACTGCCCTGGCTGCTTTCATACCCTGGATCCTGGCTCACATCTTCCACCTTAGTCCAGCTCTGCCCATTGAGGATGTTTCTGCTGTGAGCAGACAGCAGGACAGGCTCTTGCTTCTCACTTTTGCTGCTGTGTATCAAAAATGATCACTACAGCTGTAAAGCAGACCCTAAACGTGGTCCTTTCTCCCTGGAGGTACAACATTAGCCTGCAGGGCTGGAGGGTACTGATGTTTCTGCAGAGGTCAGAGGTGCAGCCATCATTGCAGCTTGACTGAGGTACCAACCTGGGCAAAGCAAGGAGGGTTTCTGTGCTTAAGACATCGTGGGTTGCCTTGTCCCAAATAGCCGGCGGGCTGGGACCGAACCTTGCAGCTTTCGCAGCTTGTGCCGGCCTGATGCTCCCTCGGCGGAGAGCCGCGGGGCGAGCCGGGTGCACTCAGCAGGATGCTCTTTTGTCCCGCTGCGGTTTCAGACTGGAAGCTGTTAGTGCCTTGCCGGGAAGCTGGACATCGTGCGATTTTTGCTCCCCCCAGCGGCTACTGCTCATAAAAGATAATAGCTTCCAGTTGCCTCTCCTCTGCTGAGCGGCCCCTACAACCCGATCCCCTTCCTGTCGTCTTTATTTCAGCTGCGGAGTCAGACATTCAGGCTTCTGATGACTCCTTGGATGTGAACCCAAAGTTCAGCCCCTTCCTTCCCCCTCCCCAGACTTCCAGCCTCTTCAGTGCTTGTTTGATCGACTTTAACGATGCGTTAACGCATGCTTTGCACACTGCAGACCTGGAAACATTTGCTGCAAGCCGAGTTCCCTGGATTTAGAAAATCTGAGAAACTAGGATGGTTTTTCAAGCCCTGGTTTACAGCAAGAGGATGGCCCTAGCCCACTGGGGTGGGATCATGATGTGTTAGAGCCTGATTGCTGCTCTGCAATAGCTCCCAGAGTTTGTGGAAACAGATACAGCTCCCACCTCAGTCTAAAGCTGCAACCATTAGATTTTCCCCACCACTACTGTTTAAACTTGCAGTATAGCCTCATCTCCACCTGCTCAGAGCAGCAGGAGGTACTGACCTCCGGGTAGCAGCCCCTGTTCCCAGCAGTCTGGCAGAAGCTGCTGAGATGGTGTCTGACAGCTTGGCGCAGGATAGGGCTGCAGGCACCTGTGCTTGGGAACAGAGGCAGCAGGAACCGCAGTTCCCCAGCCCAGGAGCACAGGTTGCCTCCCACGCTGAGGGCTGGAAAGGTGCTGGCCTTCCTGGGGTGGGCAGCAGAGCCAAGAAGAAGTGAGGATCCAACAAAGGTGCCTTCCTGTACATCTGGAGAGCAGCTGGGCAGGACCCCTGCCTGCAGGAGCCAAGAGGCTGTGGGACACCTAGCAGGGTGCTGGGTCCCTTGACTCACCCTGCTATGGTGATGCTGAGCACTGTGCTAAGTGAGAACCATGGGGAGGGCTGTGATGCTTGGTTTGGAGGCTGGTGGCCAGATGCTTTCCCTGTGTCCTGGCTGCAGCTCTCTGCAGGGGTTCCCTCCCTTCCGTGTCCCTGCAGGGTGCCCGGGTGTGGATCCCTGACTGTGTTGAAGTCTGGAGGGTGGCAGAAATAACCAGAGACTACAAGGAAGGAGACACTGTTCTCCATCTCTGCCTGGAAGATGGCTCGGTAAGGCTGGAGCTATGCAGCCCAGCAGAGCAGATCCCTCCTGTGCTTGCCATGTGATCAGGCATCCTCAGATGGAAAATAGTTTACTTCTGCACCCCCAGAGTGCCCCAGCCTGGGCTCCTCCAGAGAGGCTAAAACATTGCCTGGATGTGTCCCGCCTAGTGTCTGAGCAAGAGCTCAGATGACCGTGGCTGTGTCCAGCTCACCATGCCCTTTGTCCCCTGACTGCCCAGTGAGCTGGTCCTCACTGCCAACTCCTGCCTGACTTCCCGAAAGGCCTCCAGCTCAGCTAGCTGTGCTGACTGGGTTGTGATTCCTGGTGACTAACAGCCCAAGCATGGCCTGCATGGCCTCCTTCCTGTGCTGCTCTCCACAGACCCATCCTGCCTTTGCAGGGCTGGCTGACCCCGTTCAGCACTTGCCTTGCACCATCTCCATACCCGCAGGCACTGGCCTACCCCATCGAGTTCCAGCTGCCACCTCTCTGCAACCCTGACTGCCTCTCAGACGCTGATGACCTGGTGGCCCTGAGCTACCTGCATGAGCCGGCTGTGCTGCACTCACTCCGCCGGCGCTTCCTGGAGGCCAACGCCATCTACACCTACTGTGGTAAGCCCTGTGCACCCCGTCCTGCTCCCCCATCCCATGCCCTGTTCCTCCTGCCCTTTGGACAACCCTCTTTCTCCAGGTATCATCCTTGTTGCTATCAACCCCTACAAGCCATTGCCCATCTATGAGGAGGAGGTGATATATGCCTACAGTGGCCATGAAATGGGGGACATGGATCCCCATATCTTTGCTTTGGCGGAGGAGGCATACAAGCAGATGGTGAGGTGAGCATCACATGGGAGCATCCCTGGGGTTGCAGTGGGGAAGGGTTGAAGCCCCCTCTGGATCATGGTGTATCTGTGGAGAGGGGTCCCATTGGGTCACGGGCTGTCCCCAGCTCATGTCCCTCTCCGGCAGGTTTGGGAAGAACCAGTCCCTCATCATCAGTGGTGAATCAGGTGCAGGGAAGACTGTGTCAGCCAAGTATGCCATGAGATACTTCACAACTGTTGGGGGCTGCCTAGGTGACTCCAGCATGGAGGAGAAGGTGCTGGCCTCCAGCCCTGTGATGGAGGTGGGTCTCCAGGCTCTGCATGGGGATAGCTGGGGTGTCCCTGCAGGCTCTCCCTGTGCTCCTCATGGCCTATATCCCTGATGTCATGCTATGCCTGTCCCCACCCTGTAGAATGGGTGGCAGTGACTGAACTTCTCCAGAGCACCTGGAGATCTGGAGCCAGCTAAAACCTCCTGCTCTCCTTCCCCACCAGGCCTTTGGGAATGCAAGAACAACCAGGAATGACAACAGTAGCCGCTTTGGGAAGTACATAAAGATTGGCTTCAGCCAAGCATGTGTCACAGGGGCCACCATCAAAACCTACCTGCTGGAGAAGTCCCGTGTCACCTTCCAGGTGGGTCTCTGGGGTGGCATAGGGACAGGGCTGAGTGGGAGCCCCAATCCTCAGAGTAGGAGCGTGTTCCTCCTGGGCATCCCCTGAGGAAGCAACCCCAGCACTGCTGAATCAAGCTGGGAGAGGGGTAGGTGTCCCTTGTCCCCATATCTGGGGCTGCAGCACTGCTACAGTGGAACAGGGTGGCCCAAAGTGACCTGGCTTCTCAGTGATTTTTATTTTTCTTGCTCATCCACAGGCGAAAGCAGAGAGGAACTACCACATCTTCTACCAGCTTTGTGCCTCGGCCACCCTGCCAGAGCTCCAGGGCCTGGGTCTCCGTGAGTGTCCCCACATCCCTGCCACAAGCCCCATGGCACAGCTTGCTGCCAGGCCTGTCCCATGCTGGGCAGTGCCAGGCTGTCCTGCCTTCCCCAGCTGCTGCTTGGGTGCTGGAGGAGGCTCTGCTGCTGCTGGGCACCCTGGGGTGGGATAAGGGTGGCTGGGAGCCCCATGGGGCAGGTTGTGCTGGTTCACAGCCTGACACATCTCACCCACAGATGGGGCAGAGTCCTTCCATTACACCTGCCAGGGCCAGTGCACCGCTCCCCAGAGCACCACCGATGCAGCTGACTTGGATAGCACACGGCATGCCTTCTCGCTCCTGGGTACTGTCCTGTCTGGGCACGGGTGGGGGTGGGTAGGGTTGGTCCCCAGGGCTGGTTATCCCACTGCTCTCACCCCGGTGCTGGTGCCAGATGTCCCAGTACTGGGGGGCCTGGCTATCTACTGGCCATTCCTATCGCTCCAGTTTGTGCAATGCAAGGGCTCAGACCAGCATGGGGTGGAGGGAGCCTGGGGAGTCCCTCATGCCTATGTTGTATCCACAGGTGTTCCTGAGGCTGACCAGCTGGAGCTGTTCAACATCCTGGCTGCTATCCTGCACCTGGGCAACATCGTGGTCAGAGGGAGGGACCGCCGTGGGGATGGCTGCTTTGTGGAGGTGAGGGAGAGCTTGCTGCCTGCACCCTGCATCCCAAACTGGCCTCTGAACTGTGCTGGCTGCAGGAGCCATATCTCAGACAGGGTCTGCCTCTTTGCAGCCTGCTGATGAGGCCCTAGGGCTGTTCTGCGCACTGCTGGGCATTGAGGCATCACAGGTGATGCACTGGCTCTGCCACCGCAAGCTGGTCACTGCTGGTGAGACCTACCTGAAGCCCCTCTCCAGGCAGCAGGCACTCAACTCCCGGGATGCCCTGGCCAAGCATATGTACGGGCAGGTCTTCAGGTGGATGGTGAGCAGGGTCAACTGTGCCCTGCGGTCACTGGAGGGGCACCATACCTCCATTGGCATCCTGGACATTTATGGGTAAGAGCAGTTCCCTTCTCCTGGGCTGCCTGGAAGAGCATGGTCCTGCTCCTGCATCAGCTGTGACTGCAGGTCTGCAGCCACCAACTGCTCCAACTGGGACATGGGGCAGTACCTGTCCCTGCAGTGGGGCCAGCTGGGTGCCTTTGCCTGGAGCTTGTGGCTGGCTGGGGTGGCTCTGCCTGGCAGTTGCCTCAGGCAGGTCTCTGCTGCCCGCAGGTTTGAGATGTTTGAGCTCAACAGCTTTGAGCAGTTCTGTATCAACTATGCCAATGAGAAGCTGCAGCAGCTCTTCAACCTGGTGGGTGTCACCCAGATGTGTTGTCTTGCTGGGAGATAGCAAGGGTGGGCCCTGCACATCCCCTGCTGTGCTGTCACTTTTGGTGCTCTCTGCCTTGAGTGTGGCTGGTGCTTCAGTCCCTGCAAACATCGGGCTCTGGGAGGCTGCTATAGCTGTGTACGGTCCCCTCCTTTTCCCCAAAGTGCTCCTGTTCCAGGAGAAGAGTGGCTTAGGTGTCTTATGGAAACCAAGCCACTGCCTGCAACCTGCCTTGTGGCTCGTGACTTTTGTCCCCTCCTGGCTCAGTCCTGCTCTGCTCTCCCTGCCCTCCAGCATGTTTTCAAGCTGGAGCAGGAGGAGTATGTGACTGAGGAGATCCCTTGGGTCTTCGTTGACTTTTGTGACAACCAGCCATGCATTGAACTCATTGAGGGCCGGCTTGGCATCTTGGACCTGCTGAATGAGGAGTGCAAGGTAGGCAAAGAGTGTTTGGAGTGGGCTGCCATGGCCACCCAGAGGCCCCCACTGCCCTTTCTGACACATTTGCCTTTCAGATGCCCCAAGGTAGTGATGGGAGCTGGGCCCAGAAACTTTACCAGATCCATCTTGGCAGCTCACACTTCCAGAAGCCCAAGAGGCCCACGGATGCTTTCGTTGTCTGCCACTTTGCTGGCAAGGTAGGGGAAGCTGTGGCAGTGCAGCCCCGGGTGAGGAGTCCTTGGCAGTGGCTCTGCACCAAGGGGCACCCAGCCTGCCCTGTCTAGAGCTGGTGGTGGCAGCTCTGGCAAACTCCTGCTGTCATGGGTGGCTGCCTGCACCCTCCCTGGCTGGGAAGTGGATCCTGCTTGCTCTGCTGCTGCTAAGTGGTGGGCTGCAACTCTTTGAGGGTAAAAATATGCAAACTCTGGCTGTGATGGTTCCCATCAGCAGGAGCTAGGCAATGTGGCCACCACCAGCTCTGACTCCCGCAAGGACCTCTTCCAACAGGCTTGGACTGTGTCCAGGCAGAGCCCTGCACCAAACTAGTCTGGGAAGCTGCAGGCTAATGCTGGTACTTGCCTTTGTCTCCTGCCAGGTGGAATACCAGTGTGATGGGTTTGTGGAGAAGAACAGGGATGCTGTCCCTGAGGAGCTGGTAGGGCTGCTGCGAGCCAGCAAGGTGAGAGCCACCCTGAGCAGGGGATGTGTAGGGCAGCGCCTGGCCAACTTGTGGTGCCCTGGGAGCCTGGGGCTAGAGGAAGGACTGATGGGGTAGGAGGTATAAGCTCTGCAGGGTAAATCCCTGTCTGCCTGCTGTCACAGCCCCACGCAGTGCTGGCCATGATCAGGGTGCCCTGAGATGGGGATGCTCCCCACCCTGTTCCCCTGCCTTGGGCTTACCCATTTTGGGGGATGCCATGGCCATGTCCCTGCTGAGAGGGCTGGAGGGTTCTGCTGCTTCCAGGTCTGTAATGTTGTCACTTCTCCCTTCCACCCTGCGTGGCCCTGGCAGAAGGTAAGGGACATCTTGGAGGGCTCTGGAGCACACCTGGGAAGGTGCCCATGGCTTGCACTTAGTTTTTCTTGAGGGAAGGAGCAGGCAGGGGCACGTCTGGGCTGTAGCAGGGCAAAGTGCACTGGGTTGGCCTCTGCGGGGCTGTGTTTCCTGGTGGTGATGGCTCTCTGGGTACTGGGTGATGCTCACTGCAAGGTCTGTCTGGCTCTCACAACTCTGCTCTGTGCAGTCTACCCTGCTCACTGAGATCTTCCTGGAGGAAGGAGATGGCCCCGTGTCCCTGCAGTCCCGCAGGTCCAGTGGGCCCAGGATGGCTGGTCGCCCTAGCCGCAGATCGCTGCCCAGTAGCCAAAAAAGCAAGAGGTCCATCTCCAGCCAGGTATGGGGTGTAGGGGGGAAAAACATGTGCTGGCCCCAGGATGTTCCTGCTGGCCCTGACCATGCTTGCCTTGTCCTCTGCAGTTCAAAGTTTCCCTGAATAAGCTGATGGAGATGCTGAGCAGCACCACATCGCACTACATTCGCTGCATCAAACCCAATGATGGCAAGCAGCCCTTTGTGTGAGTGCCTGGGCAGGGAGGCTGGAGGAGGTGGGGACACTCTGGGGCACTGCTGTCCCTCTAATCTGTGTCCCACTCGCCCTGGCCCAGCATAGCTTGCAGTGTGCTAAGCTGCTTGGGACCTATTCTAGATCAGCCCCTCTTTTGTCCCAGGTTTGACTCCAGGCGAGCAGTAGAGCAGCTACGAGCCTGCGGGGTCCTGGAGACCATCCGGATCAGTGCCTCAGGCTATCCCTCCAGGTACTCCCCTGCTTCAGCAGCACCCTGGGTGCTCCCTCCCCTTTCCAGCCACAACACTGGTCTGTCCTCCACAGGTGGACATACCAGGAGTTCTTAGAGAGGTACAGGGCTCTGGTGAGCAGAGAGGAGTTGATGGGCACTCAGGAGAAGCAGATCTGCAGCCTTGCCCTTGAGAGACTGCTCCAAGTAAGGGTCCTGCTTGGGGGGGTACAGCTGTGAGTATCCCTTGCAGATGCTTCTCCCCATGCATAGATGCCCTGTGAGGTACTGAAATGAGTGAGCTTGGGAGATGGGGAGGAACTCGGCCTCCAGGGAGGTTGGACGGGAAGATCAGTGGTGTGAGGAGCATCACTCCTGGGGGAGCCCAGCTAGGGTATGCTTTGTCCCCGGGACTGACTCTGCCCTTGCACGCAGGACCCCAGCAAGTACCAGTGTGGGAAGAACAAGGTGTTTTTCCGGGCTGGCCAAGTGGCTTACCTGGAGGACCTGCGGTACCGGCGGCTGAAGGCAGCCTGTACCTTGCTGCAGAGGCACCTGCGGGGCTGGCTGGCACGGAGGCGCTTTGGACGGACACGTGCTGCAGCAGTCTGCCTGCAGCGTCATGCCCGGGGCATGCTGGCCCGGAGGTGAGCAGGGGATGGGGCTTGGAGGGAGCTGCAATGAGCTGAGACAGAGCTGAGCCTTGGGGTGAGCTGGTGGCTGTACTAGCTCTGGGCTGGGCTTTGACCTGGGTGTCCCTGTGGTATGGGCTGGACTGCAGGCTTTGCCACCTCCTGCCTAGCTCTCTGCCCTCCCTGCAGGTTCACCAGGATGCTGCGAAGGACCAGGGCTGCTGTGGTGCTGCAGAAGACCCTGAGGATGGTTCTGGCCCGGCGCTCCTACCTACGCATGCACCAGGCTGTCATCACCATCCAAGCCTTTGCCCGGGGCATGTTTGCCCGGCGTCTTTACCAACAGGTAGGAGTCTGGCAGGGCAGTGGGTGTCCCAATCCCACCTGGGGGGCTGTGCTGCTGGTGGTGCCAATGCCCCATCTCTCCCTCCACAGATGGTGAGGCACCAGAAAGCTGTGGTGATCCAGGCTGCTGTCAGGGGCTGGCTGGCCCG